ACCGGAAAGTTCCACATTGGGGGTAAAACGATCCCTAACAAAAACGACTTCATACTCAGGGCTCGAACCCGAGACATCTGATTAAGGATGAAGGAGTACTTACCACTCCACCACAACCTTTGTTCAGTCGTTCATTTGCATGTCTTTCATTAATTCGAAGTTGGTTTTAGTGTGAACATTAATGTAACACTATACGACATACATGTATAGAGATGAAATTTGACATACGATTAATCCTAAAACTAAATTGTATGTCAGATATATAGGAGTAGGTGAAGCAGATGAAGTACTACTACTTTGTAAAGTCGCAGTCTAATCCGAAGATTGATCCTCTTATTCTTTGGTTTACTGGAGGCCCTGGTTGCTCTACATTAAACGCCGTTGCACTTAACTCGGTAAACCATTCATCTTTTAATTATCCTTTGGGTCGAACTGATTTTGGGCGGATAAAAATAGAGAAATTTTCATAAAGCCTTATCTTTTAGTAGTAATTAGCCATCTATAGATACCATTTGTTATATTACGGATTATAGAGACTTTTTCTGTTGTTATAAGATGTATTTGATATATTTAAGCTATTGTATTCAAGAATACAGTAGCAAAAATAGGCGTGAATCAGGGAAGTCCAGCTAATCAGTTGTTATATTCAAGTGTATTCGACTGTATTCATGGAGTGAAACGTGGGATTACAGGTGGACAGATTATTGTATTCGACTGTATTCACGGCGTGAAATAGGGGATTACACTGTTTTTAAAATGGAAAGTGAATCAATTAACATATTAGACTCCTAATAAAACTCAACAAACTCAATTATAACACACAAATTTTGTATTTTCCGTTATAAAAAAGATTCTCAACCGAAAAATACACCAAAAACATAGCAATCTTCAGAGAAATTATACAATACATCTGAATACATAAATAATATTAATCAAAAAATTTATGAATACATTCATGGCATATAGCGAGACAGTGAATACAATGAAATACATATAATACAGCGGGACACATTGAAATACAATGAAAAAAAAATAATGAATACAATGAAATACATAGAATACAGCGAGATACATTGAAGTACAATAAAAAAAAAAGACAATGAATACAATAAAATACATGGAAATACAGCGAGATACATTCAAAATTATTAACAGAAAATTCATGTTGCTCAGCCCCCAACTCCGTCGTCTTTGTTCAAGAACAACCATAATGTCGCCTCGTTGAAGCAGCATCAGTATCCAGTCCTCGCTCGCCGTCACTGTTGCCTCCGGTTGCCGACGATTAGCATATAATTACCAGCGAAATAACGGAGGTTTTTATTGATCCGATATTTTGCGTCAGAGAATGTGGCACGCCACTGGCCGTGAAATCGCCCGCCACTCCGGTGCTGACGCCGCCCAATTTCTCCTTATTGAAGGCGGCAGCTCGGGTCTATTCAAAAATGGTGAAGAAAATGTTAGAGATAAATATGGTAGAGGCAAAGAGAAGAGGAAGGATATGTGGGGGCTGATTAAGGCATTGAGTTGCAGCGGTGGTGCCTCCTACGAGGCACAATCAGTTGCCAAGGCCTCCATTGGTTGCATTTCACTTGTTTAATATGAATAAAAGATCGTTCAAGATTAATTTCATTGGCAATATCAAATACAACCCAACTTTTGATCTATACATAATCATCTAGCATTAGTCGGCAGAGAGAGGGAGAATAGATATGGGGTAGGGGATAGGAGAAATTTGAGGGGATATGAGAGAGAAAAATAATACAAAGCTTATTTTATGGCTTAAGGGTAGGGGGTAACCATAAATAGATATTTGGCTATAAAAAATCAAAAGGTATCTATGGAATATAATTTTTTAAAAGGGTATTTATTTAAAATAAATAAGGTATCAACCTTTGCTATAGAAGGTAACTATTCCATAAAAATAGGCTAGTCAATAAATAGGCAGGTCATTGACCCGCCCAATAGTAACTTGGGTTTGGGCTAAATTTGGGTCATAGTCTAACCCGTTCAACTCTTACCAAGCTTTAACGAATGCGTATTATTTTTTTATGAATTATTTAATTATCAAATAAGACTTTTTTTTCTTTTGTTATGGTCATATATAACATATCATTAAAAAAAAAATTATTTTCGAGATATTTTAGCAAAGTTACTCATGGATCAATATGGACTAAAAATCGGCCCAACTTTTGATGGATTGAAATGGGTTGGGTCAAGATGGACTGAGTTCAAGAAATTGGCGGGTCAATGACCAGCCCAACCTTGGATGGGTTGGGCGGGTCAAATGAATTTGGGCTCAAATTACCGTCCTGCATAACATTTACATGACTTTGACTAATTTTGCTGATGTATAATTCTCAGTTAGAATTTTGATTATTTATGTAGTTTTGCACTTTATGAATGTTGCTTTCTGATAATTATATTTTAGCCAATGCCAATGATCAAATAATTGTTCCACATTTGAATTAAAAATATATCATGAACTAAACCACGGGATATAATTTCGGATAGAAGGAAATGTATTCTTTTTCACATTTTTAAGCTTGTTTTCTTTTGCAACCCCTTTTAATGTAATTGGTTTTGAATGAAATTAATTATTATTTTCCGGTTTTTTAGTTACTAATATATGATAAAATCATCACTTAAATAAAAATCAACAGGACCTATGATGTTTGATGATAGAGAGTGTAATGGTAGCTTGCCAACATTGTCTTCCAATCCATATGCATACACTAAGGTGAGAGACAAAATAATATGCTTTAATTTGTGGTATACTATTTTCATCNCAATTCACTTAGATTACACCCAAGGCTTCGTTATCCCTAATCCCGCTTTAAACCCGCAATTATAGATTCCTCTAATAATTTAGGAGTGGTGTTGTTCAACAATACCCTAAATATGCACTCTTTTTCAAGTTATGAACACTAAATAGGCACAGCTAATTGAGGATCCTGTCAATTAACTATAACGAACACGAAGTTGAACAAATAAAGATTAAACTAGCAATTTGTATTCACATAAACAAGAAGTTCATCACCCAATAGGGTCCATCAAAGCCTTAGACAAGGAATTTAGCTACTCATGGCTATGGGAAAATAAACTAAGATTGAATTCATCATAAAATCAAAAGAAAAGAAGAAAGATGTTTAGAGTATTTTCTCACAATGGTTTTCCTTGCTAAGAAACCTAAAAAATCAATACATGCCTCTCTTGGGCGAAGTCTAATGTTTTAAATAGGGTTTAGGTCTAAAAATCCCGTAATGGACACTTTGGTCCCTGAAGTTTACTGCGCCTGCCGCGGTCGCGGTAGAACCGCGGCCACATACCCTCGCGGAATCTCAATCTTCTGCAGCTGCTTCCCACCGCGTTCTGCCGCGGTCGCGGTGGAACCGCGGTGGATCCAGTTCTCTGAATCTTCGGCCTGTTTTTGGACGGGTCACTTGGGAAATTTCACAGTTGGCCTCTTTTTCATCACTTTTGACTCCAAAACTGCTCCTTAGCCTTCTTTATACATATATCACCTACAAATCATGAAAAGCACTAATAAGAGCATTTTGTCATCACTTTTAGCATTAAAACTACACAAGAATGTGATTATTTAAGGTGTGATTATAGTCAAATTCACCTATTATCAACTACCAATCAAACTAGAATGTAAAGGCAAAAAATTAGATTACTATAATAGCAAAGAACTAGACTAAAAATGCAAATGACTAATATGTACCATAAAATTTTTAGAAAGTTTATATAAAAATACATATATATAGGTGTAAATAAATTTAAATAGCTACTTTTATAGTCGGTTTGGTTCGGGTTTTTTCGGTTATTTTTTTTATTAAAACCAAAACCAAACCAAATTTGATCGATTTTTAAAATTCAAAACCAAAACCAAACCAAACCTAAAAAGTATCGATTTTTTTGGTCGGTTTGGTTCGGTTTTTCGGGTTTTCATGAACACCCCTAGTGACAAGTACCATTAAGCTCCTAGAATTGCATAATATGTTTAATTTAGGAAGGATATAAGAAGTATTTTCTTCGATATTCTATTTTTTATCTCAAAAAGACAATCGCGCCCTTTTCTATTAACTGTTCAACTGTCAAAGAAAAAGAAAATGAAAACTGGTTGAACTAGATGAGGTAAAGACGCAGCCCTACTCCACCTCTCTTTAATGCGTCTGCCGTCTGTCCCATATTCATTTCGTTTACCTACTCATCTCTGTTCCTCTTTCTTTTTCACAAAAAAACTTCAGAATATTTGGAATTTCCGTACCACACACCATATCCATTCCATGTTTCCATTAACTCGTTCTACTAACGTTGTTCTCTTGTCACTCTCCCTCGTGCCATTCACCTGACCTCCATCCTCTATTTATCACTTAATTACGCTTTAAACTTAATCAATTAAATCGATTATATAAATCTTTCATATGCATTTGTTTCTATTTAAGCCTGCTAATAAACATTATGTGTTAAAATTAATTTTTTAAATAAATAATTATGTTTTTGGTGCAAATTCTAGAATTGGTAACTGGCAGTTAATATATTCGTTAAAAAATGTTTAAAAATACGGTACACGCTTTTTGTAAAAATAATTTAAATGGCCTTAAATTTGTCTACAAAAATAATACTCCTATAACAACAGTTAAATGACTTAAGGACTAAAATGGAATAAAAAAGGAAGTAAGAATTTTGTTTTGGAAAATATCTTTTTAAGAATACAAGAAAATATATTATGAATAAAATATAGATCAAAATTCTAAAACACATATTTATGCTAAATTTCTGCATTATATCAAGTGATTCAATTAATACTTATGTTAGAGCTCTTTCCGAACTAAAACCAAAACCACATTAAACATACACAACACAAGACACGACATTTATGCCTTCTCTTCTTTTATCGGCTTCCTCATAAATACCCCCCTCCACTCTCTTTCTGACGACCCTATTTATTACCCGCCCCATCTCCATTTACCATTTTTCTCCTCAAATCTGGAAAAATGTCCACCTTTTTTCCTCAGCCACCGCCACTTCCGATGCCTTTCACTACCACCGTCAACGGCGGAGCTACTCCTAACACCGCCATTACTCAATCTCAACAACCTGTTGATAACAATCTTCTCAGTGACAATACTCCTTCACCTTCTTCATCATCGTCTTCCTCTTCTTCGATCATTATAGTTATCATTGTTATTGCATCTGCTATTATCGTTTCTGCTTCTATATACCTCATCCTTCGCGTGATCTCGCGGCGGTTCCACCGCTCCTTCCGTACATACGCCGCGGCGGATGATGTTGTCTCGCATTCTGCTGCTGCTACGGCGGTTACTGAAAACCGTCGTTTTGATGACCAACGGAGTTCGGAGGAGGAGAAATTGGTTGAGTCGTTACCGCTTTTTACGTTTGGTTCTGTTACTGGGAATTTAACCGGCGTGGACTGTGCTGTCTGTTTATCGAAATTTGAAAAGGATGACCAGCTGCGTCTGCTTCCGCTATGTTGTCACGCATTCCACAGCAGTTGTATAGACGCTTGGCTCGTAACAAACCAGACTTGTCCGCTCTGCAGGTCTACCGTGTATCCTACGGATGCGGATGTGCTTAGTAAAGTGTTAGCGGCGGAAAATTCTGACGGTCGCGGCGGATATGAGCTGCGACATAGCGGTAGTTTCCGAGTTGAGATCGGTAGTGTTAGTCGCCGTCGTGGTAATTCTGATTCCGCCGCAGGTGACGGTCAGAGATCGTATTCTATTGGCTCGTTCGAGTACATTGTCGATGACGGTTACGAGCTTTCCGTAGGGTCCATACACCGACGTGGAGTTTCTGAATGCACCGACAAGGAATCGATCGGTGTTCCGGTGCCGGCACCACCTGGAGAAAGTATAGCTTCAGATGTTTCTGGTGGTGGACGAAGTTGGCTCCGAGATTATGTTGACAGAATTGGTTCACTTTCTCTTTCGTCCCGCACAATGTCGTTCCGGAGCTCCGGAAGGTTTTTCAACGGCAGTAGCCGGCGGAACGACATCGTCGTGCCTATTGATGATTTGGAAGCTGGCCGGGTTGGGGAGGAGATTAGCGAGTTGTTTCGGTGGCTCTCAGGGGTATGAATTTGTATGTTCGATTGCATTGCAGGGGCAAATTCGTCTTTCAGTATACGCTCTTGATTAAAAAACAAAAAAACCACTAGAATTTGATATTTCCACTCTCATATCCATAATTTTTGTGAGTGGATTTAGCAAGAATTGGAGTGTAGATAGTAGAAACAATTTAACCAATTTTTTACTTTTTAGCCTTTTCTTCCCATTTTCTTTTTAATCAAGGTAAAGCATGTCCAAGAATGGTAATGATTCTATTCTTTACAGTTTACGAGGACTTAAAAAATTTACTAAGTCAAAATAGCACCATTTTTGGAGTGATTTTGGGGATTGAAATAGCTAGTGATGAGTTGGTTGGGGTTTTAAACTTTAAAATGAATTTGATCTGGTGGGGAGAAAGAAATCAATATCCAAAACTAGCGTTCCCTTTAATTTTCAACTTAGTTGGAACTTTACTTGTTCAATTGGTATTCGATCTTTTAAAATCTAAATTTCCTACTAATAATATCATTAACAAGATAAGGTCAAAGTTTCATATGTAAGGATCGCCTAGTTAGTTAACCAAAACCTCAAGCAAATAACACATGGTTTTTATGAATCTTTTGCCATATTTAGTGGGATCAAGATAATTTCGTACGATTTAATGAATTTGGCACCGTAATCAACTACGATGGTTTTATTTCGTTATAAATGCAGTTTTTACTTTTTCTCTATGCAATGGTAAATTTCCAATTAATAGATTGAGCTGACATCGCATATATTGAACAATTTAAGTAAGCTTTATTAACTTGAAAACTTTAGCCTTACTTAAATATGTTGAAAAGGAAAGAGATCCCTAATAACTAGTTCTGTTATGTGTGCATGACCAAATGCATGCCAGTCCTTCAAATTTGATGACTCAATTTTATAGATGGAAGCAAAAATTCACTACTAGAAATCCGGTAAAAAGCGACCACAAAAAGCGATCAAAGTTGGTCGCTTATAGGCCCAAAAGCGACCAAACATGTCTGGTTGCTATATTGATTGTCTCTTTTATTTAGGGACCAAACTTGGTCGCTAATTAGCGACCAACATTGGTCTCTAAGCTAAATGGACCAAATATTCCGGATATTGACTATAGAGACCAACTTTGGTCGCTTTATTAATTTAATAATATAAATTTGGCGACCAAAGTTGGTCTCTAAATATAAAATACTTTTTTTATTTATTTATTATTAATCATTAAGAAGCGACCAACTTTGGTCTCTAACCCAAATATTATATTTTAAAATCTGGAAACTAGAGACCAATGTTGGTCGCTTTTTTATTCAATAATTTATATATTATTAAACTAGCGACCAACTTTGGTCCCTAAATACATGAATTTAATTTATTTTTTGTACTTTAGCGGCCAACGTTGGTCGCTATATCACCAGAAATTTTATTTTTTTAACGAAATAGCAACCAAGTTTGGTCGCTTTTTGTAGAAATCTGGGTAAGTAGCGACCAACGTTGGTCGCTATTCTCCAGAAATTTATTTTTTTTGAACGTGAAAAGCGACCAAATGGAGACCAATGTTGGTCGCTTTTCTGTGTATTATTTTGGCAGAAACTGCCTGTTTTGGCATCTACACCACCTGCCAGTCATACCAAAACCCTAACAAGCGACAACAACAACAATTCAAACAACAATTCCAAACAACAACCCAACAACAACAACAACAACACAAAAACAACATTAAAAGCTACATTAAAACCAAGAAAGTGTAAATTTCAATAGAACTACCAAACTAAGTTAACTCTTATTACAACCCAATGGAAAATAAATTGTATTTGTCTAGTTCAAATTGTCTAAAATTCATTGATTGTTTGGTACATCATTATCATCACCCTCTGATGAAGTTTCATCATCATCACGGTATTGAGAAGGGTCTATTTGTCGATGATGGGAAGAATGATCACGGGGAGGACGGGAGGAACGGCCACTTGGAGGACGGGACGAACGAGTACGGGGACGGGCAGCCTCTGGCGATGATGGCCGAGACCGGGGAATCGAAAAAGATCCAGCTAGGAGATTTTTGATCTGCTCTTGCATGCCCTGGCACTGAGCGACCACGCCAATGTACTGAGCATCTCTAAGCTTTTCTCTTTCCTTGGACGCTTCTAGCTCGGATGTGAGCTTTGCCACAGTCTCCCGCACAGCGGAGAGGCTCTCCCCATCAAGTTGCTCGGCTTGCGAGGAAGTCCCTATTCCTTGCATTCCACACCTATAGCGATGGAATGTCTTAGTAGGAAGGCCGTATACCTTCCCCCATTTTGGACCGCCTGCAGCCCGCGTCCATAGTCTTTCAACATCCTCGGCCGAAAGTTTGAATGGCGCGCCCGACTCATTAGGTGGCTGGCTGCGCATGAATTCCTCAGCTTCAACTCTGAAGCTATCCTATAAGAAAAAGTAAATTGAATTAGTATTTCAAAATTTATATAAAAGTAAATGAAAATACTTAATGAAAAGTGAAAACTTACATGTACAGTCGAGGCTCGTCCCTCGACCCACCTTTCTTCATCCGTCTCTTTCTTCTTCTTCACAATATGAGTCTCCTTGAATAGCTCATCTTGGTTCATCTGACGGCCCAACTTCTTTTCCTGAAAACTCATAAATTTTAATTAATAAATAGAATAGATATACTTTGAAAATTAAAATAAATTAAGCAATTACGTACCATTCTTCTTTTTACTGTCCCCAGGCTGACTGCACCTCCAGTGTGCAAGGATCCTCCCTTCTCAGATGCGCGAGCTTTCTTTCCCTTTTCGCTCTTCTGTAAGAACTCTGCAGTAAGCCATTGCCTTTGCAAATCATCCCAAAACTCTTGAAGCAACCAGCCAGGCTTCTGGTTCAGCTGTCTAGCTATGGAGAAAGAATGCGACAATCGCTTGCGAGCTTTAAGATTAAAATTTGCAGCCACGTCCGCGCTATACTGGTGTTCCCATACACACTTGCTCTGTATTTCAAAAGTTAAATATTATATGAAAATATCATAAATATAAATAATTATACTGCTTAAAAGAACATTTATACCTTAAATTCATTGAAAATTGCCTCCTTCAGTGAGAATGGGAATTCACGCCAAGACGCATAAGGGGCATCATAAAGCTTTCTGGTTGCTTTGGTGATTATCCTCGTAGTAATATTACTCGGGAGGAACCTGCAATTTAATAAGTAAAACAAATTAATATCTTAGTAAAAACTGTACAAAAAAATAAACATAAAAATAACAAATAACTCTTACCCATCACCCTCAGGGACTATGATGATCCTGCCATACTGATCATAATGCACCTCCTCGTCAGCAGCAGTAGCAGCATCAGCATCATCGTCCGAAACATGTGTATCAGAGGCATGTGTGGAAGGAGTAGGGGGGTCAGAGCTACTATCCCGCAAACGAAGGCCTCCAATAGGTGGAGTCGCTGATGAAGATAGATGTGATCCCTGTGACTGCGACATAGCTGCACGGATCGCAAGTGGCTGTGATACTGACTGCTGTGACCCGACTGGCTGTGACGCTGATGGCTGTGATCCATGTGGCTGTGACATGGATCGATGCGATCCATGTGATGCTGCTGGGTGGGATCCACGTGGTAGTGAGGCAGGTGGACTGTATGTCGGACGCACAGTCCGATGGCCCTGTGAAGAAACACCCGGGGTCTGCACGAAGGTGTAGGGCTGGTGATGCTGTGGCAGCTCAGTATAGCCATGGGGTAGAGGCTGTGGCATAGTGATAGGCAAATCAGAAGAGGGTGTAAAAGATTGATGAGTAGTATATTCTACCCTCCTCTTTTGCTTCCTAGCCTTATCTCGACCCCGAGAACCACTACCTTCATTGTTACCTCGACCCTTGCCTGTCATCTGCATAATATAATACATATTTAGATTGAAACATATAAGGAAACTATCTATAAACGAGAGTTATCGAAGAAACCAACTTTTTAAAGCTCATCGACGTATTCTTCCTCGTCAGAGAATTCTTCTTCCTCACTAGTTTGAGCTTCATCAGTTGATTCTTCTTCCTCGTTTTCTATAATTGTTACTTCATTTATATCAACTTCTTCCAATATGTGTTCAGGATGTTCCAAATCATTTTCTAAAAGTTCGTCCACTATTTGGTGAACACTGGAGATATCGTTTTGATATGCAACATCCAACACATTCTCGACTTCGACCCTACCTACAGGCTTAGTTTTGATTACAACCCACCAAGCGGACTTATTCTGCCTCAATGGATAAGGAGCATAATACACTTGCCTAACATTATGTGCAATTATGAAAGGATCATAGCGATTATACTCCCTCGTATGATTAACCTCAATTATGTTGTATTGATTGTGTACTCTCGTACCTCTTGTTGGATTTGGGTCAAACCACTTGCATCTAAAGAGAATAATTTTCTTAAATGGCCAACCTGAATATTCTAGTTCTATTATTTCTTTGAGCACACCATAATAATCAATATCTCCAACTTGGTTGCCATCACCACCTTGAACCCACACCCCACTGTTGTTGCTTTTTTTATTTTTAGAGCAATCCTCTGTATGAAACTTATAACCATTCACAACGTACTTGGAATATGTTGTGACCTCAACACCAGGTCCCCAAGATATATCTTTCAAAAATTGATTTACATCATTATTTGGATCATTTACCTACATATTGTTAACAAAATTCATAAGTTAGCATAACTTCCAAACATTGTTTACCTACATAGTTAGAATATTTTAAGGATATACTTACAAATTGTTTGAACCACTTATCAAATGTCGTATATACAGCATCTTGGCCAAATTGACCCACGAAGTGACTGTGACACATCTAATATTTTTAGTAGTTGCATTGAGATGTAATCACAGTAAATTTTATATTTTGATAACTATTAAATCAATACTTACTTGAGAAATGGTACTACTTCGGGACAATTTAGCAACACATGAAGTGTAGCTGACTTGAACTCCATATCACTCAAATTTCTCTTTCTACCATCC